ACAGGCGGGTGAATAAGGGGACTGCATCGCGGAAGGGAGGGACGGTGGCCGGACAGCGTGGGCGCCGTTGTCCTTCGCAACACTGCCCCTGAGATACCGCCACTGCTGTCACAACAACGTTCCACGCATCGCTCATTCACTTACCACTTTTTGTTCGATATTTAAACCCGCGATAACATTTTTTTTGCGATATTTATTTAGGCTTGTCAACTAATACATATCTTGTCAAATTGTTTGAATTTGTTTGTTTGACGATAAAATACCGTGATAAACACACTAGTATCGAAATATTAATACATAGTAGATTGACTGCACAATTTGTGCACGTTGGTCGTCTTACCGCGTTTAAAGACCATACTCAAATGGACACATTCGAAGACTTAAATTGACACAAGTATTAAGTTATTAGTAAACTCATCCCGCTACGCATACACCTCATCTACGCTAAAATGATACATTCGACACTGAATGGTGTACTTTACTATAATACCAGCAGCTAGTGTTTTTCAAAGAGTAGAAAGAATAATATATGAACAGCAGATTTGCTATTTTTTGTAAAATATGTGTGCATCTATACATGTGAAGAGCAAAGAAGCGAGGTCGCGTCTGGATCAAGAATATGTCACAATCTTAATGTTCTCAGAAATCGTTCCAAATATAAACGTGGATAAATGTCGAATCACGCGCCATCGCGACACATGACGGAGGCCGAGAGAAATAAATTATTGGTACCGGAAGTGACGTCCCGGACTCGCTCCAATTTAAAACACAGCCCACTGAGTAACATCGTCTAACGTCGCACCATACATCGTTGACAAAAACTACAGCGAGGTACGCTTAACAAATAATAGTCGTCCGACAAAATCTCATAAAATTTTGCTTTTTAATGTTATTGCCGGTCTTCAAAATATAAAACAAATTATAGTTAATGAATGTCACAGAATAATGTATAGTATCCTTAATTCGCCGGAAATAAAAATTTTAAACCTTAGCCGGGGCTAATAGAGAACATAAATTGAAATTTAAATTAGGATTCAATCGCTACGTAAAATCGACACAACCGGATGCGATGCGTTTTTTAATTAGTGCAAAGGTTAGGAACGTTGCCTAAAAAGTCTTTTGTATTGTTAATGCTATAATTACATGCAACCGTAGGTGGCGGTAAAGCTCGTCGCCATTTTCGCTTTGACAGTTCTGGATGAAGTGTTGCCGAACCGTGGTACAGATTTATGGACTGTTTTCAGAGTTTTATCTAAAAAAGATTGTTTATCTTGACTTCCGTCGCCTGCCGCAGCCGATACGCTCACTAACGCTTTATTGTTTACACTTAATGTAATTCAAAGCAGGGAATTCCTTGGTAAATTTTATTTTTAAATTTGAACGCGACGCTGGGTATGGGGAGTTTACTTTGTGAATATCGATTGCCCGCCACCGGCATGTTTCGATATCTGCCCGGGTTTTTGCGATCGATATTACGCCAATGCCATACGTAATTTGTACCTTTTTAAATGCCGCCTTCTTAAGGCTACTATCATCAGTCAAGTTTTTATGGAATCAAAGAGAATTACAGATATTCACGGTTGCTCTCTCAAGTTCCCAATAATGTGCTCTTTTTAAATAATGCAAATGATTAACTGGTTCAACGTGATTTTCTGCAGAGGTATGGCTTGCGGCTGCACTCCGTTCGAGCATTAGTCTTTAATGCAATATCATAGAATTATATTTTAACGTGAAACATTTCCTCGAATAAAGTAAGTACATTTTGAGCTGCACATTTTTTAAACTTGTTTTTTAAACCATTTTACTATATTGTTTATGGTAATCGCTATCGTTATCATTTTCCTGTGGCCACTAATACCCTAAAAACAACTCCGTATGGGTTTTTGCACATCACACACGATTCCATTTCCTCGTGCACTACTGTTACATGACGGGAGATTGTTCCACAATCACAGACAATATTCACCACAATGTTTATTTCCTCGACGCATTTATTCAAATATTGAAAACTCATTTCCCGCGTCATTTCCCGCTGGAAAGACGCGCGACGCGTAGTGCTCTCGTCTCGTTAATTGCATTTCGTGTGTGCTCCATCGACTTACTCTCCTAGTTTAAAACCCATAACCTACATGTTTCATTTATTGTCACACGTAAAGTAGGTTATAAATGAGTATAATTTAATCATACTTGCTTCCAGAATTTTTATGTATGTTTAGACCTTCAGAAAGATAATCTTGCCGTACTACTGTGTATGAAAAGAAAAAATCTCGAAGTAAAAGAAATATCTTGATACCTACATATTGTGTTGCCTGTTTATTGCTATTAAATCATTTTGTTTTCCATATTTATTTGTCTTACATTTAAAATTGTATAAAGCCTTTGTAGGCTCAGGAACGATTGGCTTCATGAATAATTTTTCTGCAAATAGTTTGGTCTTTACAACACTGTCATTACTAACGATCCAATATTTTGCACGAACCAGTCTCCAAAATGAGAAATCAAAGACTTAATGTACTAAATATTCAATGTCTTCATACGTGTGGTCTAGCTGTCACAAATTAGACAATACCACTTTATTTTTCTTAATAGTTACTTTTCTCCCTTATCACGCACTAGTCATTATAGTTGTGCCTGAGTTATAGCATACTAACAAAAAATCGGCGTCATATCTTCCGACGGCGTCGAAATCGCTTCCTCCGGTAGACAATAGCGTGTTGTATCCGGTGGCACACGTGCTCAGGTGGCTATTATGCCCGAAACGATCCTCTCCCCTCACTACCTTTGTGTCGCAGTACCCACCCCTGTAACTTGACCCAGTTCGGCACAGCCCACTAGCTCGTGCCCTCCCATCGCATCGAGTTCTATCTTATCGCAATGCTTAACGCATCTGCCTTAAGTTAAGTGAAACTTTTGTCAACATCCTGGAGTATCTGAATTGTATTTGCACCGCCTACTCAAATATCTGTTTCCATTCCTACATTTTTTTTCAATATTCATACGTTTTCATGTCAAAAAATCATATATTTTTTGAAACAAAATATATATATTTTATATTATAATATAAAATAAATTAAAACAAAATAAGTGAAAGAAAATCAAAAATAATTTACTTCTAACTATAAACAAACCAGTGACTTTCGGTTTCCGTTAAAATGACGCATTTAAAAAACCTCCGGTTAAATTATCATGGACACGTGATACACTTTTTTATTAGTACGTGCATATACATATTTACAATCGCCCATCACTTAATCAAAACCAAAGCGTCAATATGAACTATTACGTAAAAAGAACAACTGTATTCGCTATTCGGTATTGTTACATTAAGGCGAATGGGTACATTTAAAATTCAAGTATGTAGTAGGTGTAGTACCAAACAATGGGAATCAACTCCAAGGTCGGCCGTCATGGTCATTATTATAACGTAATTATGATACGCGACGTTACTTACCTACACACGCCTTTGTAAAACAATCCAACTGTTTTTTTCTCAGGTTCGAAATGATCTATACGAGTTTTTGAACAGCTGTACAGCGGCAACAGAGATGCATTGTTAATGTCTAGGATTTCATTCTTTTTTTTTTTTTTTTTAGCTGCTTTATGATCGAAGCGAATCTAATTAGGGGGCTCTTTATCCTCTATGAATTTATAAAATTAAAAACTAAATATTTCACAGATGCGTTAGATACCTGTAATCGCAAATATCATTCGTAAGATAATTTTGACAAAAGCTTCCGGCGTGTTAGTTGTTAATATAATTTGTTGCATGTAAAGACCATGGTTATGAATCCAAAATGTTTTATTAGAAAAAAATAAGCAGGTTCCTTAATGGTTAAGGTGTTTATTTATTTAATGCTCCTATTAGACTGAACAACTGAGTAACGGATGTCGTACTAAAATCAATAGTTGAATATTGATTCAGTCGATGTGTCATAGGTACATTCAAATACATATCATCTTATTGGAGTTGTCGATACAATAATTAAATTAGCATTAAAAATTATTATTATTAAAAAAAATATCATTTAAAAAGGCAACTATCACTGCATAGATGTAAATACAATGTTGGAACATTACAGGCTCTCTAGTAAATCAGATTATTTGTTGATTCATCAATTTTCGTCACGTCTAGAAACAATGCCTTCACTGCATTGAAACTTGTAGCGCAACAATCGAGCATCAAGCTAGAAGCCTTATAACTTGTCAGTCATTGTTTGACTTGAAATAAAAAAAAAACATGTGCCTGTAATGTAGCGATTTCTAATGGTAGGTAATTTTTTTAAATATTTTTATAGACTTCTGTCTATGTTATAAATTTATGACTGGATTTCGTGCCACATTTACTCCCGATAGAATTTTCCTTGATTGATAACCAACAGGAAAATAACTACGCAACAAGAATGAAATATTTATTATAAGGTAATGCTGTGAATATAAGTAAATACATAAGTGTTTTAGTGTGATTTATTTGGACGTAACCTAAAAATAGACTATGCCATCATCATCAGTGTATTTACCCTATTAACTGATAATAACTATTGTTATACACGCACAAAACCTTAAAATACCTACTTTTACATAGTTTATACTTAATTCAAAATTTAAAAAAAGATTTTTTATCGTAACTTAGTACTGGAAAATTAAAGATAAAAATAGTAAAATAAAAATTTACTAATATGACAAAAAAACCGTTTGTGGTCAGGTCTAGTGACACTAACTTACGAGAAAAATGTATTTATTATTTATATAAGTAAGTAAGTAATACAGCATTATAATGTTACACATACAGTAGCCGTGCTTTAATAGTTAATTTGGCTTGCACTTGGAAAGTTAAATTTTGCACACGTAAACCACTAATACAAGCACTTAGATTAGTCAAAAGACGCAATTAGTTACTCGTAACGTAAAATACTCATTACTAGGTTAAAAAAAAACTAGCTGTACATGATATGGTAACTGATTTTATATTGTTTGTTGTGTCTACACGATGTAAGGTTGTGCTAATTTTCCTGATAGTCATCGGGGGGTTGGCAAAAAATCAACGGTCGCGCAACAGTTGGTCGTGTAGCAGGTGACGCGACAGGTCGTGTTCGTTCGTAGCCGCTCGGGTGCGTTCGGTTAACTTCGGAATTGTTCGGACAGCATTTTCCACGGCCGCCCTCTCGATCGTCGATCCGCCCGAAAGCTCTCAGTCGGAGATTAGGCGCGACGCCGTACGGTGCTATAGCTCTCTCTCCCCGCGAACGAAAGCTCGGACTCGTCATTATAATCGCGATCAGTCATACGACTTAGTGAAAATAAAGTAACGATAGAAATTGTGCTATTTATTAATTAATTAATATACATAAATAATTACCTACAAGATATCTGAGCTGATTTTTTTTAAAGTTAATGAATGGGAAATATACTTAGTAAAAATAATTGAATCAGTGCGTCGGTGTTATGTGTTGTTGACCGGTGCAGAAGTGCCCGGGGGCAGGTGCTGGGGTCGCCATGCTTCTGGTGGAGGCGCCGCGCGAAGCCGCCGTGCCCCCGTGCGCGGTGCCTATTGACATCCCGATGTCCACACTCACAAAACTCAACTTCTCAGACTATAGTGCTAAAGTGAAACCATACCCAGAGAGCCAGACGGAGCAAAGAGACAATACCAGATTGAACTATGAACAAGCGTTGGCTAGTGTTGCTAGGTTGAGTTACGAACAAACAGTGCCTAATACGAGCAAGTTGCATTATGGTGAACAGAATAGACTTGCGTATGATCCAGCACTGGATACTATGTGTGATCCTTCCTTCATATTACCAACAGGTTTGTGAAATATTTTAATTTTCAAACACTAGTTATTTGATCAAAGAAAAATTATAATCAAGTATTAAGTACAATTTGATTACATACACTTCAAATATATTATTCTTTACTTTCCTTCAATTTATTGTACATGTTAACTAGATATAAGATGTAAAGGTAGTTCGCAAAAATTTAATGGAAAAATTTGTTGTTACGGTTGAGAAATAAGCCCATAAAATTGATTAGGTGAACTTTATGGTATTATTTAGATTCAAATTAAACAGGCTAATGTTAGCTCTTCTATGTTGAATATTATTGGATATAAAATTTACTAGTAAAGATATAAATAGTCAAATTGAAAGTAATTAAGCTAAATCACTTTAACAAAAGGATTATTTTGTAGATCAGTATTATATAATTAGAAAGTATTTTTATGATATCATATAAGTAATATTAACTTTCAGTAACTAATATTTATATACGAAATTTAAGAAAAAGTACTCTTCTTTGGTTCTTTCCCGGTAACAGTGTTGAAGTCTAACGCAAAATATATAGCAAAGAGCAAATTATGATTGAACACTGTATTATAGAATATATTCTATAATAAACTTAAACTTATCTTAATATTTAAATAAAATGCTGAATTTTTTTCCGTCATCGATGTTGCCTTAGTTTGCATAATTTCTTTTAAAAATGTAGTGAGTATCAACCCAGTGACAGCATCGCACAATAAATATGATACTAATGCAATACATTATAATAATACTGTCATGCTATAAAAATATTATATGGCAAATGAGTAATAAAACAAATGTTAAATTCTGATTTTTATTTCTCGTTCAATAAAACAGTTTAATTCATTGAACACAGGAAGCGGACAAGGTAAATGAACGCTGACAAATCGCATCTTTATAAAAGCTCTACATTTATTTAAGTCATAAACACATTTACGTTATAAATAAGCAGTGCTTCATTGAGAACTCTCAAGTAGGGAGCGGAAGCACTTTCGCCGACGCCATGTTGGATCCGGCGGCGGGCGCGGGGTTGCGCCCGCGCACCTCGCCCGTCCGCGCTTCCGCCGCGTGACGCGCATAAAAAGCTTTGCAGTATTGTCACATAGCTTACATTTGCATACATAAACTACGTGAAAACCCTGCTAACAGCCCTGATCAGCCTCTCGACACTATCTACTTATTAACGTCAGATAACTTTACAATCTTTTGCTCGAGGATTGTGGATGTCTTTTCTATTTAAATCACCTGTTATCGCAAGATGTTGGATATTGTTTATCTAAATGAATCAGTTATGAATCACTCGCATATCAATGAGCTGAGGTGTTATCTTGACGTCTGTTTCACTAAATAATGCTACTTGGAGTAAATAGAAGGGTATGAATACAATGCCTTATAAGTTATATACTGACCAATCAATTCATTGGCAATAGTCAATAGTCAATTAGAAATTTACTAACACGACAAGTACTATCTGATATTCTTCTTTTACTATAACTTTGGAGAATGCTCTTTCTAGTCAAGTACGGAGGTTTATTCTTTTGAAGGGAATTGACGATTGTTGTTACCACATTCTGTTCATACACCTTCACCTGTATTATCTAAAGAATAGGTCTCTCTCACGTAGTAGGGGATAGGGCTATTAACATATTACTTTGGGATGAAGATTGAAGATACTTAAACACCAACATTAAAAGACTAGGACTCCTAAATACATTGAGGAAAGTTACTTTTAGCCTAGTTCTTTTGATATTCCAATTTTCGCAACCCCATAGTTAGTGGTTAAGTTTCGTGAAGGACAAAAGTAAATAAATAGGGTTCAGCTAAATTTTAAAGCTATCTTCTCAACTAACATTATATAATTATGAATTAAATTAAACTTTTTTTGAAATATTTGGCACTCTGCCATAACAACATTAGTCTACAAATTCACATTAAATGGAATTAAAGTGTCATTAAACCCAGATAAGTTTCTTTGGTTAAAAAGATATTTACATTTTAATTTAGGTCCGCACATATTATACATCATTTGAGCAGCTCCGCCGTTATGGCCATCACATTTTTCTTAATAGGTAGGTACATTACGAACGCCCTTGTTCTTAGTCAAACACTCACTAGAAAATCAAGTTTATAATTATTGCCATTGATAGCATAAAAATTAATTTACAAGAGATCACACGTCCATTAAAGTTGAAAAACATTATAATTAAAACTTTATTTATTGGTCTGTCATTTGCTCGCTAAACCGACGCTAAATGAACTTAATTCGCCATTAAGAAACTTAAAATAATCATTTAATATAATTCCTGTCAAGGATCACTGACAATTGCAATCTTTTAAATTAAAAAACATAAAACAACTCTAAAAATCACAATTAAATGTTATAGGACTAATTCAAAAGACAGAAGTAATATTTTTATTTCACGTATTACGTAATTGTGGTTAGTTTACACAACGTCTTTTACAAATTATTGTCAACTGGATGCTAAATAATGTACTTAATGTAATATATTATGTAATCAGTGAGCCTATCGTTTCTTTAAAGAACAAATATGATAGTTATAGAACTGTTTAATACCCTCTACAGTACGCCTTGCCCTTAATCTTGTCAAATAATACCAACACATCATTATAAAAGTATTTATTATCTTGTCGTTGTAAACTCAATAAAAGTTAACCTTCAACCTAAATCTTAAAATCCGGTCGTATGCTCTTTACAACCACGTCCTTGAATTCAATCTTGACTTCTGAGATTTCCATAAACATCGTACGTCGATACATAAATAACATTAATGTCATTATGCTAACAATAATGCCTCATTACCCCGTAAATTAAGTCATACTTGTTCTCAAGCACAACACGTAGTGGTATATCTTGAATATTCATAGGACAGCTTCAGATTTAATCGGTGTATTGCTGGCACAAGCGACGCGATCATAAACGTTGACCATTCGGAGGCTAGAGGTAACGGTGCAGGTCGATCACCTTTCAGTAATCGCTTCCTTCCTTTTACAGCACGCAGCGAATCTCACTATCGTGACAACTATTGTGATTTTATACACACTGACGAATGTGACACACCAAACGATATAGAATTTCTTTAAAATAATCTAGCATGTTAAAATACAGCTACTGCACTTGATAATTACCTCTGTGTGCCAGGTGATCACACATACGAGTATGAGAGGAATATGCTCTATGGCTTGCTTGAGTTCGTGTTTCTGACCTGTAACTTGTATACGTACAGAAGAAACGTTTACTAGGCGTGAGTAACTAGATTTTTCGTGAAGTAAATTGTACGAGTATAAAAATTTACAAACCAATAATTGTCCCTTCTCAGGTATTAGATATGTAGAAAAACTGATTTTTTCTTGTTAGAACAGGAACGTTACTTGAACCAAGGTCCACATCGAATCTATCGCGCAGGATTGCTTATTTTATTTTACATTTATTTAATACCGATTTAGTTGTTAATGAAGTTTTTACTAATAATAATTAATTCAAAATTTAAGTGTGGTGACGGATTAAGAATACAGAGTGTTACCACCCTTATTCATACCCTGGGTGTCGTAAGAGCCAGATAAGGGAGCAAACTACGCAGGACAGCAGCACTGCATAACAAACCCGTTTGGCCAGCGTGGTAAAGTAGGCCAAAACCTTATTTCTAAAGAGAGGCCTATGTCCAGCAGTTGAGGCATGAGGCATTGATTATTTATTTTTACAAGCGAAAACCACTCGTAAAAATAAAAAAATAAAAAAACTTGACTAGAGAGCAAAGTTATTATTGTAACAGCTTGACATAGGCCTTTCCTTAGCAATTAGGTTTTGGCCTACTATACCACCCTAGCCAGACATGTATTGGTACTAATAAGTAAACACAGTTGTTCCTAAATTAGGCACAGCCTTTGCTATGAGGACACAATTACTCATCCACGGTGGAATTCGAACCCACGACCTTTGGCTTAGCAATCAGGATTACTCAGCACTATACCAACAGGCCAGCCAAATAGAAAAGAAAAGGTTTTTCTGTTTTTTTACCGACTTCAAAAAAGGAGGAGGTTCTATGTTCCACTGTATGTATTTTTTTCTATTAGAGTTCTTATCCTACTAAATATCTATTTATTGCCAATGTATTGCACAGGATCATAAGATAACGGCAAAATATATCCTTATATTTATAGAATTAGTACGGTAAAATAAGTACTAGGTGTACTAATATTATGACCTAAGGACACCTAAAACAAGGAGACACGTTAGAAACACCTGTCTAACTTCGCAGCTGTTGGCCCATGACCTGAGAGACATGTGCATTGTACCAAAATCACCAACAAATACTGTCTTATTTATTAGTCGATTGTTACAAAAAACAACCAGTCGATCCACTTCATTAGTAACATTGAAAAAAGTAATTAGGAAATCAATTCTAAATTTAAAATATAAAAACAGGTGACATTAGAATAACTTTAT